AGAGAGAGAGAGAGAGAGAGAGAGAGAGAGAGAGAGAGAGAGAGAGAGAGAGAGAGAGAGAGAGAGCCCAGTCAATAAAAAAAATGACAAATTTCAAGACTTCCTACAAACAGGGCTGCTGGATGGAATCAATCATTCACATTTTGCAAGGGCCTCTCAGAAAATGTCCATGAGATTGTTCATCTTGCACTTCATCAAATTGCACACACAGCGCAAGCAACCTAATCGTACAAAACTTCACTGTAAATTGAGCCCAAGAAAACTGAGGAGAACTAGAACCAGCGAACTAGAAGTGGAAATCGGAAAAATGATGGTAAAATGGATGTGCACCTGAGCCAAACTCGAACTCAACTGAACTGGGGGGGGGCCTGAACTACAGAGGCAGCTAAACTGCACTGAATTGGCTCTGAAATTCTGAATTGAAATTCCACCTCTGAGTTAGCACCCGAGTTGAAACTCCACCGCTGAGTTAGCACCGCGTTGAAACTTAGCACCGAGTTGAAACTCAACCACTGAGATAAAACTTAACTGCCAGTTTAACTCAGCCGCTGAGTTGAAACGCAGCACCGTGTTGAAATTTAGCACCGAGTTGAACCTCGACTGCTGAGTCGAAACTTAACTGCCAGTTCAGTCAGCGGTTAAGTTTCAACTCAACCGCTGAGTTGAAACTTAGCACCTAGTTGAAACTCAACCGCTGAGTTAGCACCCGAGTTGAAACTCAACTCGAACCAGTGAGTTAGCGGTGAGTTGAAACTCAACTGACCTGGGAGTGGACTTTTTTCATGATGTGATTAACATTTGAAATTTGGAGGTCGTAAAAAACATGGCCAACTATGTTTGTTGACATGTTGTTGTCTTTACGTGACGTCGGTAAGAAGGAAAAAACAATTGAGTCGGAGTTCTGACGAGGATTGAATTGTCCGACTGAGTTTTGCTTGCTTGTCAAACGGATTGTGGGAAGAACGAGGAGTCCCGTTTTCTTTTTGCTAGTCTCCTTGGTTGGTGGATCTATAGGTAAGCTTTTCACAATAGTATCTTCTCAGCGGACTGGTATCTTAATGATTTTCTTATGTTTTAGTATCTTCTCAGCGGACTGATATCTTAATGATTTTCTTATGTTTTTGAAACCTTTACAAGTTTTACTCAAATGGAAGACTGATCTCTGTGTAGGGTATTGCTAATTGCTTGGCCTTGGGGGTTCTGTAATAGTTTCACTGTCCATTGATTCTTGATTGGCCGAGGCCAGAACGACGCTGGTCGGAGCTGGAGTAGATTGTGTGAAATTTGTGACCCTAGCTTAGATGGGGACGCGAGGCCTGGTAAAGAGATCTGGGGGCGGTTTTGGGGCTGCCGTCTCACGGGAGATCAAGGATCGAAGCCTGAGCGATGCTGGCCAGAGTTCAGAGTATGGTGGTGTGACTCTGTAACCTAGCTTGAGGACGTGAGGCCTGGAAGAGAGCTCTGGTCGCATTGGAACAGTGTTATTCGTGCACAAGTTTTTCTTGGTCAGCAGATAGACGATACTCTGATGAGGTCAGCGTTGTAACAGAGCTTCGTTGTTCACTATTATATCGGTATTAACTCACAGGTTTGCTCAAGGTGATCTCAGCCGAAGCCGGGTAATGGCCGCGGTATGCTTTTTTTTTTTTTTTTGGACAAATGCTCCAGTCTATTCATGGGAAGCAGCACGTGCTGGGAACTGGGCCCAGCGTCCCATATAGAGTTGCACAAGTCATGTGAGATACCGGGGCAATTACCCAGCTTCGGCTGAGAATCAATCTGAGAACTATTGAGAACTATTACGGAAGAATTAAAGGAGTTGCGGTATGCATGTTACATTCCATAACTCTTGTAATTGGTATGGGATGCTGGGGCCGGTTCCCAGCATGTGCTACTCCCCACGAACAGATTGGAGCCATTTTGGTAAGGAAAACAACAACAACAACAAAAAAAAAAAGATTGGGCTTTGATTCCAACTGTCAATCAGCGGTGGAAGGAGAAGAAGAAGAAGAAGGGGCTTTCCGACCTCTCTGAAGCAACCATTGGCATAGTTTAAAATAAAGAAAAGTGGTATCTTTTTTTTTTCCTATCATTTTTTAGAACTTTTTAGAGATGAACGTACAGGAAAACCTGCAGTGGATTTGCCTAAAATTTTTGGAATTCATCTTTTTTTGTCAGGTTTATTATGCTTTGGGGAAGAAGAAGAAAGAAGAAGAAAGAAGAAGAAAGAAGAGCAGCAAAGAAGAAAGGGGGGGGGAAGTTATCCAAGACATGACAAGGCGTTATGTTTAAAGTGGAAAAAAAGAACTTCAAAGAAGAAGAAGAAAAACAAACTTCTGGAACACGATCGCAGTTGTGAAGGAGGTAAGAGTTCGATAGACAGACAGACAGACAGACAGACAGGTTCTGAACTCAAGATCATAACGAAAACAAAACTACTTAAACAATTCACCCTAAACCCTAAACCCTAAACGTCAAGATGAAGGAAAAACAAAGATGAAGTTGAGAGGAAGGAAAAAGGCAAACATGTAAGCTTCTACTTCCAGATTGAAGTTGAGAAAACAAATCAGACCACTGCCAGACTCTAGAATCTCTGACAAAACTACTACTTCCTCTCTGAGACTAACTGCAATGAACAAATCAAACACGTCACCTATTTACTCGCAATGGACGAATCAGATAGTGTCAACCACGTCACCTATTTACTCGCAATCGAAGAATCAGATAGTGTCATTCTGTGCCTGTGTATTGTTCCCTGTCATTCCACCACCATGCGACGCACAAAAAAAAAAGATGATCTCTCTCAATGACTCAAAAATTCAAAATATGATCAAAAGTTGCCTGTGTGCCGTACGATATTCGGACATGGTAAGGAGATATATTTATCTCAAAGGTACATATCTGAACAGCAACGGCAGCAGCAACAGCAGCAGGAGGAGGAGGAGGAGGAGGAGGAGGAGGAGGAGCTGATGTGGACACATGTGAAGTCTCCCCTCCACCGCTCTTTCACACAAATTCGCAGCGTCTGCAACTTTGTGAAGTGCCCCCTTTCACAACCTCTCAGTGGACTCTCGCTACCCCTCAGAAGTGAGGAAGGTCACTACCCCTCACAGAAGAAACGGAAGGAAAGCGGGTGTAGCTGACACCCCTTCGCCTCTCTCTGCCTCCATGGCCCAACCCTACCCACCCTTCCCCCTCCTCTTCTCACCTTCTGATACAATGATTGGCCCCAATAGATAACAGCTAGAGATACTCTTCTATGACATTGACATGTCCTTCCTCGTTGACGGGGATCATCGTCGTCGTCGTCGTCGGAGGAGGAGGAGAGAGGAGGAGGGAGGAGGAGGGAGCAGGAGGAGGAGGCCTTCTCTCCCATGGAGTTCGTTTTGACGACGACGGAAGGCTTGTTGAAGGGTCGTGAGTGGCGTTCCAGACGAAAGGCTTCTCATGTCGCCATATGTCTCAGACAAACTTCCAACACTTTAACTCCTTCAGGCTGAGACATTCTCACAATCCCTGTGTGCCATCTTTGGGGGATACCCGTCTTTTTTTCGGCGTCTTCATTCATTCACGCATAGGCTGGGCAGTACCACACACCGCTACACCGTCTTCGACTGCTGCACATGCGGCGATATTCCCTCTCAACTTTGGATCGCGGCGATATTCCCTCTCGACTTTGGATCTTAGCAGATCCAAATCCAAAGTCTGCCTTCGTGATGCTCAGTTGCAAGTATTCACCCTCACTCGCATTCGCTGCATTGCTGCTTTCGCTCAACTCCCACCCTTACTGGACATACCTTCCGCTAAGCTATTGTGTTAACCAGGGTGACAATGAGAGGGCGGGGGCATGACTGCATTCTGTAGCCCACGCCAGTGTCAAGCCTCGTCGCGCATGCATCAACCAGGGTGATGCATTAACCAGAGTAATGCCTTATAGCTGGTAGTAGCTAGGGTAACACATCATTGACCAGAATAATGCCTTCACCAGGGTCAATGCATTAACCACAGTAAATTCAGTAATGCCTTAACTACCGGTAGGGTAATGCATTGACCAGCCTGGGTAATGCCTAAACCAGGGTAATGCCTTAACCAGGGTAATGCCTCACCAGCCTGGGTAATAATGCCTGGTTTAATGCATTGACCAGCCCAGCCTGGGTAATGCCTAAACCAGAGTAATGCCTTAACTAGGGTAGTGAGTGCATTGGCCAGCCAGGGTAATGCCTTAACCAGGCCAGGGATGACCGCATGCATCCCATGTTCCGTGCCAATGTCAGGTCTCATTAACCAGAGTAGCGCATTAACAAGGGGGTAATGCCTTAACCAGGGTAACGGCTTAACCGGGGACGACTGCATGCATCCCGTATTCCATGTCACTATCAGACCGCCTCTTTCTCCCACTGCATTTGCTCATCAACGGAAATGCAGCTGACATGAACTGTGCTGTGCACTGCAAGACGATTTCCATCTGCTCCAGATTGTGTCGTGTCCGCCCACAACCATCCTCTCAGAATTGCTCCATTGTGTGCACCCACACCATCCTCTCAGAATTCTTCCACAGTCTGAGGAGAAAAAGCTTTTCTCCCCTTCGAGTAGGTACTTCCACCCACAGGTTGGGACCCACAGATGCACTAGTCCCATCTCGCTCACGGTTTCCAGTCTCCCAGTGCAGTAGTCCCAACTCACATGTCCTGACAAATGGTCCCAAGTTCCCAACTCAAAACAGTGGTTCCACCCACATCTCTGGGCCTTGCTTGTGGTCCCAGCTCATCTGTTCTCAGAACAGTTGCAACCAACTTATATATAAGTCTCACCTCTGTTTTGGTCCTCCTTGGCACTGCACCTCTCCTCCGTCTGCAGAAGAAGTTGCTAGCAGACTGTCCCATAAATCCCACATGTCCCATAAGTGCCATACGTCCTGGAGGCCCCAGAGATCCCCGAGTACCGTAGTAGACTGTCCGAGAGGTCTCAGAGGAGTTGCTTGCAGACTGTCCCATAACTCCCACATGTCCCATAAGTGTCATACGTCCTGGAGGCCCCANGTAGTAGACTGTCCGAGAGGTCTCAGAGGAGTTGCTTGCAGACTGTCCCATAACTCCCACATGTCCCATAAGTGTCATACGTCCTGGAGGCCCCAGAGATCCCCAATGTACCAGAGGTACCAGAGCAGCTCTGGCTCTTCTTTTATTTTGTGCAGAGATAGTAGTAGACTGTCCGAGAGGTCTCAGAGGAGTTGCTT